TGTGTATACATATGTATATATATGTGTATATATATATATATATTATGCATATATATATATATATATATATACGTATATATATATATATATATATATGTATATAATCTGTCTTGATATTTCTATTGTTGAAAACATGCAAATAAATAGATGCATGTATGTACATATACATATACAGTATATATACGTGTGTATATTATATTTATTATATAATATATATAATATATATAATATATATTATATATAATATATATTATATATATTATATTATACAATCTATAGAGACAACCAAAGGGGTGTGTGTATATGAAGATCTCTGTCTTGAAGAGAAACAGCGAAGGTAAATAGAAGGAAGCCTTTGTATAAAACCCTAAACCCTAAACCCTAAACCCTAAACCCTAGACCGTGCATAAACCCTAAACCGTAATCCGTGCATAAACCCTAAACCCTAAACCCTCAGTCTTAGCCGCTGCAGCGTGGAGACACTGCATCTGTGTGCAAGCCCTTGAAAGGAATACGTGGGGTTTGATATATGAGGGTTTAGGGTTTAGAGCGAGGAGTTTGAGGGTTTAGGGTTTAGCCAACAAGCAGCAGCAGCAGCTGCTGCTGCTGCTGCTGCAGCTGCAGCAGCAGGATTCTAGTCATAGAAACTTTTTACCTTTTGTTTGCATGCACTGCTTTTAAATATCACCAGAAAAGAAGCGCTCTATTTGGGTATAATTAGCTGTACTGTCTGTACACCTCAGGTCTGACGTTGCTGCTGCTGCTGCAGCTGCTGCTGCTGCTGCTGCTGCAGCAGAAGGCGAGAAGGATAAGATAATCCATTTGTTTGTTTCGACAGCATTTCTAAATGTATTGATTGATAGAGAGGGAACACGCAATAAAATTATTAGGGGGCGTATATGTCTCTGTGCTGCAGCTTCTGCTGCTGCTGTTGCTGCTGCTGCAGCAGCCGCAGCGGCAGCAGCAGCAGCAGCAGCGGAAGCGAAGTACTGCTTCATGTCGTTCATATTTCCTGCTTCCTGTGCTGCTGCGTGTGTAACAAGGGCCCTTTATAAGCAGCAGCAAACCCTAAACCCTAAACCCTAAACCCTAAACTGCTCGCTCTGCCTCCTGTGCGCTTCGCTGCGCTGCTGCTGCTGCTGCTGCTGCTGCTGCTGCTAGTTGTTTCTTTGGGGAGTTAGTAGCAGCTTTATTTCTGCTGCTCCTGAGGCCTTGTCTTCTATTTATTAATCTCTTCGCTTGTCTCTAGGGCAGTCGAAGTGCTGCTAGCAGCTCCGCTGCTTGCTGCTGCAGCTGCTCCTGCTGCTGTTGCTGCTGCCGTTGCTGCAGTTCCTGCAGTTTCTGCAGTTGCTGCTGCTGCTGGGGGCTCCGTGGTGGCTGCTGCTGCAGCTGCAGCAGCAGCAGCAGCAGCAGTAGCAGCAGTAGCAGCAGCAGCAGCTAGCAGCTAGTTCGCTCGCGGTGGGGGGGTAAGGCGACAGCAGCAGCAGGAGCAACAGCAGCAGCGGCTGCAGCAGCAGCAGCAGTTGTTGTTGTTGCTGCGGCAGCGACCGCAGCAGCAGCAGCAGCAGCCGCAGCAACAGAAGCAGCAACGGAAGCAACAGCTACCTGTGCTGCTGTTGCTCCTAGGGACTCCCCACCCCTCAGCAGCAGCAGCAACAGCAGCAAAGATGACAGCAGGACCTGCTGCTGCAGCAGCAAAGACTCTGCAGCCTGCAACAGGGGGTGTCTCCTCTCAGCCTGTGCCGCAGCCCGCTGGTGCTGCTGCAGTTGTTGCTGCTGAAACCGAAGCAGCAGCAGCAGCAGAAACAGAAGCAGGAGCAGCAGCAGCAGCAGCAGAAGGGGTTAGACAAGGCCGAGCTTCTCTGCTGTCTCCTTCAAACTTTGCTTCTCTTTCTGCTGCTGCTGGCTTGCAAGGGTCTCTGAGGGGCACACAAAAGAGGAGTAGGCAGCAGCAGCAGCAGCGGGACCCTTTGCTGCTGCTTCTGCAGCAGCAGCAGCAGCAACAACAGGGCTGCGCTGTATACGCAGCTATGTCATCGCAGCAGCCACGTACACCTCTGCATGGAGCTGATGATACACCTGGCGAATGCCCGCTGCAGCAGCAACTTGCTGCTGCTTCTCTTTCTAATTCAGGAGGAGGATGCGGCGCACCTTTAACATCTCTCTTAACAATGGACTCAAAGGCAGCAACCCCGCTGCTGCAGCACGATCGCATGCGCTGCAGCAGCAGAACAGCAGCAGTAGCGGGTGCAGCAGCAGCAGCAGCAGCGGCTGCTGCTGCTGCTGCTGCTGCAACAAACGCTGCTATCGATATTCCAACAAGCACCACCACTGCTGCTGCTGTTGCTGCAACACCTGCTGCAGCAGCAGCTGCTGCTGCTGCTGCTTTTCCTAGTGGGCGCATGCAAACAGCAGCCAAAGAAGATAGCAGCAGCAGCCCCATGCTGCTCTTCGGTGTAGAAGAAGGTAATCTAGCAAAGACACACGGAGCCTCCGCTTC